CCCCCCCCCCCCCCCCCTTCTCTTTTTATTTGAGTTTTTATTACATTTTAATCAAAGGAGAAAACACCATTATGATCAGCTTTAATATAGTCCTATACTTCTTCTTAGTTGTCATCTTTGCATCATCATAATTATCTTCGTAGTGTTCAATTCTCCAGAAGCTGAGGTGTTAGTTTAACCAGTGGTGGTTTTTCTCACTTTCATAATATGAGCAATATGCTGTTGACATGCCCTTCTTCTATGGTTCAAGGTCGTGGTATCGGTCATTGACTCGGAGGGTACTGAGACACATTGGTTGTGGCATAGCGGTGCGATATTGGCCTATACGCTCAAATTGCTAGATAGAAGGCCCAAAAAATTCTAAAAAAATAATGAAAAATTCTAAAACATATAAATATCATCATCCATGTATCATATTCCCAAAATACATTAGTTCACACATTAAACATAGTAAAAAGGAATTATGACGACGTTAATGTATATATGGTATTATGTTAATGTATATATGATTTAATTTTACTTTTAATTCTAGAAATTTTTAGAAAAATATAGAAAATATTTTTGTCCATTTAATGTATATTTAATTACCTAATGTGTGCAGTAATTATATAAAAATTACATATACAAATTTTTTTTTTTTAATAAGCATGTCAATTTCATGAGTTTAACTCCTTATTAGATTATACAATAAACAATCGAAAAAAAACAACAATTATAAGAAAAAAAGAAAATCCAAACCGACACATACATAAGCAGTAAAGACTAAAAAAAAAAAGGGGCATAGGTTTGTGTTTACTGTGGGTCTCGGTTAAAGAGAGAGAGAGGGGAACAGAGTGGGGGAGACAAACAGATGAACAGAGAGGGGGAGAGCGACTGAACTGAGATTTGTGAAGCTTGCGAATTGACGAAGCTTCAATCTGCAAGCCTAGGTTTTTTGCAAGCGTTGATTTAGGATGGATCTCCGCTAGAAAAACAATGAGCCATTGTAGGCCAGTTGTTTTGTTTTCTTGATAGGGTTTTGATTGACTGTTCCTCTTTTTATTTTCTTTTATTCTTTTTTTTTTTTTTTGCCTTTCTTTTGTTTGTTTTTCATGTGGGTCTGTTATTCTACTGCAGCTCAACCGAATTGGTGACAAGTTGATTTGAGTCAGCCAAGTTGGACTTGAGTTGCTGGTTTTGCTGCTTCGTCTCCGATTCATGGCTGATTCGAGTGAGAATCATGTATTTGATTTATCGTGTATCATTATCATTTCGGCGTGGATCGAGATGACTTTGAACCCTGCCTTCCTCCACAAAATTATTTATTAGAAACAGGCAGATTAAATACTGTGGCTATACCGTTGTGCAGACACAATGAGTCATGTTTTGAAGTTTTTCCAAAAACTCTTTCAAAATGTGTTGGGGTTATAGGACCTCACTCCTTAGCTTCTGAATTTATGCACTGGGGAACTAGCTTACCAGTGTTATGCGAGGGCCTATGAATTTGCATCCTCAACCTGCTTGTACTTTATTCTTGGATGGTAAATTTGAACAATTGTGGGGGGGGGGGGG